CGATGCAGATTCCGTAGGTCCGCTGGCCATTGTTGAATTTGTCGATGAGGTGGAACCGTTGAGCGGGATAGTGTATGTGTTGGCAGTGAACGAGTTTGTTCCATTGCCCAATAACGACGAGGAAACATTTTGAGGTGCGCTGAAGAAAGAACTGTCGTCGAGGGTTTCTAGAAAGTCCCTGTTCACGATGATGGAGAATTATAATCAATCAATGCAGGCGATATTCAATGCGCACGTTAGAACAGAAAATTCATTTCCCAGTGTATCCGAGCGGTACACGAAGGGTGTTTGCGAGATCAAGGGCCAAGTCCCTGTTGAAGATGCGGAAGCACTGCCTGTGGTTGGTGTGGATTGATGTCGGCCTGGAGTCACAGCTGTAGGTGCATACATAGTAGCTATGTAAAAACTCTCAGGGAAGTGAAGATCGTCGTCTGAAGGGTAAACAACTTACTTGTACTAAATCCTGGAGTAGAAGTGTTTGTTGTAGCTAGAACGTCGTCTGGAAACTTGATGTCGGATTTGGGTCGACGATCATCGTGACATAGATGTCCTATCTCCCTTTTAATACTGAACAGAATGTTGAGCCCGAAAACAGAGAAATCATAACCGCGGTGATGTACCATCTCTGACAGGGCCTTCCCTCGTCGCAAGTCATATGGCTTCTTCGGCAATATAAGCACGCATGATTGACCTTTCTTCTCCTAACTGTCTTCTTCTTTCGCGGACCACTTCCTGACTCCTCTATACCTGGATCATCCTCCACCGACACCGAGTCAGATCTCGCAGCAGCCATTCCTTCGGCAAAGGAGCTTCCAGCGCTGACAGTCGCCAAATTGTTGGACATCGAAGAACCAGCTCCTGTTAATTTTTAGTCGTGTGCTCTTGGTGATAGAAGTCAAACGTCGAAGATGATGTAAAGTCAACAACAGATTGGAGAGGGGACTCGAGGTATGTTCGTCGGCCCGATACACATGTGTGACGTCACGTCACGTCTGGCGTCACGCTCTGCCTCATTGTACCTTATCATACACCTTTGTATACTCCTGTAGCCAAGATATAATGTTACTGTACAATAATACTGTATACTACTCTTTGAAAGATTATACATACGTACAGCATGGTGCTACAGGAAGTAAGGTACCCGAGCAAAGGCCCTAGTCTAGGAAATCGATGAGGCGAGGGAGAAAGAATGTATATCACTCGCTCAAACGGTGAGCAAGAGAACCACAAGATTACAGCAAAAACCGATATCGCAAATGAGCGGTGAAAGGATGGTAGCTAAAACCAGATCGCGCAAGAGATTATAACACAGCCTACAGCGTAGAAAGTACTGAAGGGAATATACGGGCGCGCAGACAGCGATAGCATATTGTATAAGTAAAAAGAAGTTTCAGGATCAAGAAGGGAGAGATTTGGGGTGGATCATATAAACATAATAAACAATGTATACAGGAGAAGTAAAAATACTTTTGAGTGGAAGACGAACCGAAACCGAATATTGTAGCACAATCGGACTGACGCGTTTTTGTCAAAGGGAATATAGAACCAGCGGAACATTAAACACCTGAAGCAGGATACCCTAAATGAGGCTGATAGTTTGGATGACTGGGGTGGCTCGCGTTTGCTTGTGGTGTGAATTGTTGTGGAGTTTGTTGATATGGATGCGCTGGTTTCGAAACAGGTTGAGACGAAGGAGGTTGCGAAAATTGCTGACTCGGCTGATAGCCTTGTGCGGTGGTCGCGAGAACCTCCCCTTGAGTTGAAGGTGCATACGCCAACGGCAACGGCGGGAATGTGGTGTTCACAGGTGTACTTGTTCTACTTGCACTAACGCTCGAAGCGCGACTGGTAGGCTTTGATGAAGAACTTGCCCCTCGGACTTTTCTCCCCTCTCGCTCTGCGCCTCCAACACGACCCGTCGAAGGATAAGCAGTGCTGACTACGGATCCCACAGATCCCGTCCCAATGTTCAGCCCTTTGTTCTTGTTAGCATTTTTATCTCCTCGCTGAGCTAAGCATTCATGTTTCCCGCTCGCGAGCCACTGTAGCCCGATCGCGCCATGATCTCCGGAATGCTGATAATGGTAGCGAAGCCCATTCATGTTTTTGTACCGACGAGGGCAATCGCCAACACCACACGCATAGGGCTTAAGTTGGCGTTCGGCCTCGGCTTCAATTGCGAGGAGCTCTGAAGGAGGGAGGGACGAAAGAGTAGAACGGAGTGAAGTGAGTGAATCAGCAGCAGATGGGTTGTTATTGGCACTGCTGGAAGTGCCTGCAGATGCATTCGATGGATTGACAATGGGGGTGAGGGCATTGATGAGGGAAGAAGAGGAAGCGTTAGTAGTCGGAACACGATTTTGAGAGGAGGTAGCTTGGCTATATGAATTGGATCGATTGGTTGACGGACCTTCACCGTCTTGATAAGCACCTTCGGCGTATCCAGAGGTCGACGTCGTTGGACTGCTCAAACTCAAAGCGGAACTAAGGGCAGTGCTTAACGACGACGGTGTGGAAGTGAAATTACTGGCTCCAGTAAAATGTGAACCAGAAGAACCGACGGGGGAGCTCAAAGCAGAACTTGGGTTACTACCTCCTGAAGCAGCAGCAACTCCGGTATTTACGCTTAAAGCGTGGCTAAAAGAAGATCCCAACGAGGAAGGTGTGACTGGAGTTGCTATTCCACTCCTAGGAGTGTTAGCACCAGATGACACGGTTGAAGGAGATGCGTTCGAATTCACAGAATCCTCTTGTGGGGTCTGCTGTTGTTGCTGTTGCTGCTGTTGCTGTTGCTGTTTACGTTTCCGCTCCAGAATGGCTTGAACGTGTTCCATATCTTTTGGAGGAGCAAAATTGCATGACCCATGTGTGATATGATATTTGAGACCTTGAGATAGGAATTTGGCCCATTGAGTACAAAAGAGTGGACGTAAGTAAACAACATACCATTGGCCTGCTTGTAACTCTTGTTGCAATTAGGCTTGGGACACTTAAACGGCTTGCTCTGTAACAATCCACCGCCTCCTCCGCCGGTGGGAGGTCGACCGATTCTCGGAGACGGTTTGGCTGTGTCGCCAGGAACACCAGACGATGATGCATTCGTGGAAGCAACCGTAGAAGTTGAGTCGCTGGAAGGGGTGTCAGCATACTGAGCCTTTCCTTTCGTGTTTTGAGCTTTAGGAGGTGTAGACTTGCTAGTCTTCTCCTTCTTTACCTCCTTGTGCACGTCATATGATAGCTGAGGTACATCCCTGTCTTCTATGTCAATGTCAAATTCGGCATCGGCGTCTTCATCATCAACGCCGTCTCCATGATGAGACTGTGGACTTGAAGGAGTGGAAAAGAGCATTGCAGGCTGAACACAACCCATATCCACAGTGCCATTTTCGGAGCCAATAGGGTCTGCTTCCTGTGGTAAAGAAAAGTTGTACCCATAAGAATTCTGATAATTGAAGTTTCCGCCAAAGCCACCCATGCCCAGGCCTCCGTTCATTCCGATATTACCCATGTACGTCATGTCGACGCCACCAGGTGTCCCGTGACTATGAGCCCAGGCGCCTGGAGGTGGCGGACCAGTTATGAAAGGAGAATGTACAGGCCGGGAGGTAGACGAACAAAAGCCTGGGAGGTTCAACGCCAAGTTTAGGCGATGGGGAGAGTGGGCTTCATCTGGTATATTCTGGGAATTTTGTGTCGAGCTGGGAATGTGAGTGGAGATATGCAATGAGCTTTGTCGAGGGCTGGGCGGTGATGAAGAGGGCAGGGACTTTTGATTACTAACACCAGGATATCCTCCTGGATAGGCTGCGGCCAGACTGTTGTGAATTTGGCCACCGGGTGATGAGTAGGTAGAAAGGGGCGTGGCCAAAAGGGTTTCCGGTGGAGATGGCGTCGAGATGGGTGAAGAAGGCATTGAAGACGCTGTAGATGCAGTAGAAGAAGTGGGAAGCATTTCGAGCTCCATGTCATCAGGATCAACAGGCCCTCCTCCTTGGTGCATAGACTGCTGTTGTTGATTCTGAAGCTGATTAGAGGGCATAGGTTGTGGAACACCACCAGCATCGATTACTTGAGGTTCAAATGGTACTGATATGCGCGCCTGAGGTGCACCGCCACCTGGTTGGTCGATACATACGACATGAACGTCTTCAAAGTGCTCCAAGAGTGCGTGAAGGTCAGTGAGATGAAAGCCACAGCATGTGTAATTCCTGCAGAGTTCATCTTGAAACTCGAATAACCTGAGTGCATTGGAGACTGCTGGGTCTCGATGGCTGAAACGTACTGGTAAGCGAGTAGTCAGGTACAATTAGAGGGGCCACTCACACATCCATCGGACTTCCCATAGTGACTGAGCCCACTGAGCCTGGGTAACCCAATAGTCTGCTACTGTAAGAGCCTGCTGCGCTGCGGTAGCTCATTGGAGAGCCCAGGAAGTGCCTTGTATATGAAGCAGGATTAAATGAACCTCCATCGCCCGAGGTATATGAGCCGGAAGTCATATTGACATCCTGAGAGTTGTTATAAGGATTTCTGCCATGACCACCAAGAGATATCGGTTGAGTTGCAGTTGTGGCCATATAGATTTAAGGATAGATAGTAGATATACAGATAGAAGATGGGATTGCGGATGGAAGTAAGGAAGTAAAGTTGATTGGTTATACGATCAACTTGACATCAACAATTAGTAAGTCAACACGCGGAAAAGTCCGATCCGGATCCCGAATCCGATGCAGTGCGGCCTCGAAACTCACACACTCCTCCGCGTTCCGGCACTGATCCTCCTTGAGTATTCCCTCTGTTATAAATAGCTTCTACTTGATTGAAAAAGGTGTCTACTCACAGCATAGATGCTGTCTTGGTAAGTCCCATTTAACTCAACTCAACCCGTCAAAGTCTTCACCTTCTTCCCGTCGCCGAAAGACCGACTTCCTTTTGTCACGTGGCTTCCGGTTGTATATCAAGCGAGCAGCGAGGATAGAAATTAGGTTGATCCTAATCCGGCTTCCTTAGCTCAGTTGGTTGAGCGCGAGTTTCATAAATTTGACCCTGCTTACCGGAACAATCTTGAGTTCGCAAGTTCAAGCCTTGCAAGGGAGCATAATGCTGTTTTTTTTGGTTCATTTTTTCTAATGTATTTTTCTGTTAAAAGGCAACGCTGTAATACCAAGGGACATATGCGAAAAGCAACTCATTTAACCTCCAGGTGCATAATGCTAAGGCCCTGCCGGCTCACAATTTTTTGTCCATCCCTGGAGCATCCCATAAGGCAGGACATTCTGATTTTTTTTCAAGACTCGGACGAGGTAGCTCAATAAACCATACGTTGTGATATCACTTCTTCTTGCAGAGATTCTAGATGTCATGGTGAAAATTTGCAGCTCCCATCGTTTTTCCTTGCTATGCAAAGTATTTCAGAAGAGATAGCTAACGAACTCTACTAATGTAACATCTAAATGATAAAATACTCATGACAGGAAGACAATTACAGTCTGGCTGTTGCTGCATTCTGTCAGTCTCAGGACATTGAAGCCGCCGATTGGGACGACCATATCTAAAACAAGAAGCCCCTGAAGCAAAAATGCATGTGAATCCCTGTGTGGCTGCAGGCAGCCGCAACGTTGACCTATCATGCCATCGATATGTAGTGGCTGATATAGCGGCCACTGTAGAAAATAGAAGTCAGCTGAAGGGCAGTCTATTCGGCGCCGGAAGACGACAAGCGAATAATTCTAGAGATCGCATGTAGACTGACAAGACAGACATTGACGCGTGCCACATTTGTGGTGGAGCTGAGAATAAGTTTACATAGAATTGATTGTAGTGTGAACCCCTGGGCATACGTTTTGCACCAACATAACTCAGATTCATCCCAGCAGACGGACCGAGGATTTTCCTGCGCAACTGGCCAAACCTGTCAAATCCTTCGCCGTTGGATTATCGGTCCTACTTCTTGGGCGACAGAGTCTAACCTAAGCAGAAACCCAAGAGAGATCCTCCCTGACCATTCGGAATGTCCCAGAATTTTACGCCGTCGAGTCCGACAGCCAAGCCAGTTCTCTCAGGGAAACAGTCCGGAAACCTCCAGAATTTCCTCTACGCCGTTGGAAATTTGGATTCTGGCGATGGGAAATGCAGTGGCATGCAGTGTGCATACCATGCCCTTGTGCATGTGCGAGACTCGCTAAGGATTTCACAGAAAATCGAGGATAAATTACCGATGGGCAGTGGGGGAGACGCTATCACGCTTAAGTAAGGTAAATTTGCGTCGGGTTTGGCGGTACATACTAAAAGACACAACAACGATAGATCTGATATACAACTGAGAGCATTGCGAAAAGCAAGAAATGCAGATAGAGCGACAGATTGTTCGTAGGTAGACTACTCAGAAGACCAACAGATAAGCACAAATTATCAAGAGCGCGTTTCGGCTGAGCTTCAATTGATCGGATTCCATATTGGAATTGACCATACGGGGATGAAAATCTCGGAGGACACACAGTATAGCCCAAAATGGTAAAGGATCTGCGCTGATCTGCGTGAACATCACCGACGGAAAGCGGTCGAGGGAGTGCCCTGAAAGCCGGTCGGTGATGTACCTGAAATAGCAGATCCTGGCGAGATAGGCGAAGGCGGAGGTGAAGAGCTTGACGAAGTGGAATGTGGTCTAGGCGGAGGGGGAAGAGAGCGAATATCAGATTGCTTGTATCGGTATGGCAGAGTCTGGTTTGTGTAGCGGTCATGAAAATCCGATACCGGTTGGAGACGGTAGGGAGAAAGTCCCCGGTCAGAGTGGAACGGATTGGGACAGCCATCTTCATCCATAAGCTCGTCTTCTTCTTCGAGTAACGATTCAGCATCTGATCCTTCAGAAACTTCAGCCAAGTTCAGAGCTAATGATTTACTCTGATCATGTGTGAGAAAACCAAAGGGAACGTTCCGTTGTCCCGAGCCGCGTGTCTCCAATGAGGGAGAATACACGGGGACGTCAGGGCGAAGCACCAGAAAATCAGTATCTGTAGAAGATCTAGCACCGCTCTGGCTAGTCGTAGGAGGTGACCGACTACTGTGACGTTTGCGTCTACGAGCAAAGGCACTCATGTTAGGGTCTTCTTTTCCTTGCGGCCGATTATTAGAGGTTGTAGAATGGTTTCTATAATGCCTGCGCATATTCGAGTTGACATTAAATTCTCGTCCGCAATTAGGATACGGACACCGGAAGGCTATAGAGGGAGCATACGCTGAGTGAGCATGAGATAATGAAATAGACAGATAAATGACTGACGAGTGGCACCTGTATGAGTATTCATATGGATGCGAAGGCTACTCGGGCGGTTGAATCTTTTGTGACAAATGTTACATACGTGTTTCTTGTCGTCGCCATCGTCTGACACTTCGTCTGAAGAATAAGTGACATGGTCTAATTCTAACGGCAGTGATGAGGAAGTATGTGGATAACGCGGCCTCGCAGAAGCGTGGGCAAGTTCAGCTGAGGAAGGCCCACTAGTTGGTCCTGGCAAAGGGCTCGTATTGACACGAAACACGGGCACAGACCCGTTTGAATTGTCTGACTGTCTGTTCGGACCCGGGATGGTGGATGAACGACTCGATAGTGTGGCGCTGGACGCGATGTGATGGAGGGATGAAGATGAAGGATCTGAGCGTAGCACATTGAAGGAGTATATTTGAGAGTCGAGGCTGGAGTTGTTCATACGCAGTTCCCGATGCAAGTGGTGGGTAGTGGGCGAATGTCGTGAAAGCTATTGCAATGGTGAGAAGGATGACACAGGTAATATGAGCTGAGAAGAATTTGCCACTGACAAAATCATTAGATGTAGTTTCGGGTGTTCCCAATCGATGACCAGGAGAAATCTTGAGGAGATGTTCTGGACCGAGATCAAGGTCAGCGTTCAACACAATGACTAGAGAACAATAGAACATACCAGGAAACATTTCATGAATGCTGGGAAGAGATACAGACAAGGGGGATGCAGAAGTGGTAGCCATTAGTCACGAAAGAGACTGAGGAACGAAAAACACGGAGGGAGTCAGTGGGCAGTAGCCAAAAACGATCATAAGGATCTACTCTTTATACCAATTGTGAATATAGCGGTTATACAAAAAGAAACCGATGGCCCCGAACTTTAAGGCACTTAGCGCTCTCATTTCCTCCGGATCGTGATCTAAATGTGTCCTCTTATCCCGAGGGAATAGAAACACGTTATATAGAAACTACGTACATTTCCTTGTTCTTCTGGCAATTTGGAAGGCCCAAGAGGGCTTCAAGCCACAGAAACGTAAACTGAAGAGGCGTTAATCCGAGGCGCTTTAGGATCGGCGTGAAGGAGGCTACGGATGAAAAAAAAAAAAAGGAAACGTTTTAAACCGCCGGAATCCACGCCTCATGGTACTTAGTCGTCCAGCTATCCTGGTAAATAGATAAGTATAACTGTACGGAGCGCTAGCTGCCAAGACTGAATAACATACCTGACAACATATGTTTACACCTATATATACACCGCTGTAGAACAAAAGTGATATTTGCATTCAAATATTTACGGTCACGATGAATTATCAACTGGGTTACTTGATGTGGCAGTTAACCAAAAAGGGAACAGGCGACAAGGATTTGCGATATACGCTGAATCAGGGCCCAGAGCTTCAATTGAAACCGCGGGGATGACTTGCAAGAGTATTCCACGTGTAGGAGCTGCAGGGAAAACTTCTTCCGCTGTCTATTTACAAAACGCTCAATCTAAACCGTCGGACTCGTTGTATCATTTAGGGCTATGATGCATGGTGGATACAGTAACAGGGGATATTCTTAACCGTTGAAGCGTTGATGAAGGTTGAAGATTGAAGCAAGTGAAATTAGTATTACACGCTTTGTTCCTCCTAAATGAAGGGAGGCTACTATTAATGCGAACCTCCTCATTCATCTATATTAGCCATTTCCAACGAAGACGCGCAGCCACTGGATGGGGCTCAGAGAGAACTGACGGGTATTCGAACCGTAGAAATAATGAATTCTCTGAAATTACGCACTTTTCGATTGCTTGAGTATCTTCTGCAATGGATTGGCAGGGCCCCTTTGCGTAGCTCCGCACTAGTTACTCTAAACTTCTGGCGTCTTTCCAGACCTTGCATTTCGAATGTCTGCAGTAAGAGCTACTAGTCGCATTTTATCCTTGCTGACCCGAAGTCTTCGCTCGACAGAGATCGACAAGTAGAGAACAAATTTCCCAACGCTGAATGAGGGACGGTAAATTGAGAGTGACCTCGGGCCTATCATTATACTTGCTGGCATTTGTGTGATTGATGAAGAGTCAGCTACCATGCATGTTGGGGCCTATGACCACCCTTTGTACGAAGCCAAAGGTTGGATAGGATTGGCGTGTGCAATGGAAGAGAAATCCTTGGTGTTCTCCATTAGCTCGGGACGGCAATCTTGACAATACACTTTACTAACCCACTCAGGCCCAGTCCTGCCGATCAGCCTAATCAAATTTCCTTGGACTACGCGGACCTACGTTCTTCTACAGCAAAGCCGGCGTATAGAGCTGTGGCGGCAGACTTGACAGTCTGTGTCGAACATCACCAGGAGCAAATCGCGAATTTAAAAGTTCGTCTTACCTTCCGACTCGGAAAGCTAATCCTTACTTGAGCTCAAACGTCTATGAGAACTTTTCCTTCATGATACCGGTTTTGGACACACCTCTTACATTATTAGACAACGTTTCAATACAGAGGTGGGTCCTAAAAGGAAAGGACGCAGACCGCCGAATGGACGCACAACGAGTGGACTATAGCATAGAACACTTTTTATGTCCCGATAAGCCCATGCCTCTACCACGAGGGCTCATGAGGGGCATTCCAGGATTAGCTGCAAAGCTCACGCGTGCGCAGATCGGCGTCTTAGCAAGGACGGTAGCATTAACATTCATTAATGGGAGATCTCTGTCCAATGGAGCTTTCGCGGCTTTGAAAGGGATAGCTTCGATTTCAGGAACCCGAGGATTGTGTACCACGTGTTTTGTGACCTTGTTCGTGACTTTTGCATGAGCAACGACTTGAGCAAAGTCTATGCTGTGCGCCAGTAAA